CATCAACTTCATTTCTCTGTCATGAAGTCCAGTATGATTTCTGGGAAATCAGGTCCAGAACTAAAATACATTTTCTGCCCAGTTCTCTAAGAGATCACACTAATGTTTAAGTAATTGAGCAGAAAAATCTATTTTAGTTCTGGACCTGATCTCCCAGAAATCGTATGGTGTGGCTTACATCTTTGATGCTTTTATTTCTAAGGAATCATTGATTTTAAGAACATTATTTTTCTGAGGAAAACTGACAATGTTGCACTTTTTCACATTTTTATAAAGCTGTGAAATCAGCTTATTGCCTTGCCAAAATTGTCTATCTTTTTGAATTTCAAAATGGTAAGAAATGACATGATTACTGAGAGCAGTAGTCCTCATCCTTGCTTGTACATGGGAATTACCTGTGGAATTTAAAAAACTATGGATGCCTGGCTCCCCTAGAAATTCTGATTTCACTGGTCTGGGGTGCTATTGGGGCAGGCCTGAGGTTTTAAAACATCTCAGACATTTCTAACAACCACCCAAGACTGAAAACCACTGAAGTACAGAGTTGGAAGCTGGTGCTGATAAAGAGTTCTTCTGTTAACAAGTGATTACTTAACAAGCTTTTAAACTTTTTAAATTAAGTACCATAAACCTCAGATGCCTTCTGAATACTGAACACAAGTAATATTACAGTCTATTAAATGTTTTAGGAATCATAGAGTGGATACAAGGAAGGGAGTTGTACTATGGCAAAATGGAAGAACAAGGTTGTGGGGTAATGGAATATTCATATGGCACTAAAGTATCACCCCATAAATGACTTACCCATTACAAAGGTAAAAACTACCTTTCCAGCTAAAAGGCCAGTCACTAACCAAATAATTAAACTTAGCATCACTAATAGCCAACTTAGGGGTTTTATTTGGTCTCTAAAATGAGGAATGTGATCATAGTTCTTACCTTACTAGAGTTCTTTCCTGAAGACTCAGATTCACTGGTAATCTCAGTCTCAAACACATAAAGTGCACTTGGTAAATGTTAAGCTTTCTCTGATGGCTGTTTTTCTGTATATCATAATGATAACTAAGAATAAGACTTATTAAACAAGGTGTTTAGTATAAAGAAGAAAAAAAAGAATAAGACTTAAATCAACATCTTTCACTGAGGCAGAACTGTTTGGAAGGAACAATTGGAACTTTCAAAAATAAAGTAGTATACCTCAGGAAAAAAAACAGTTAAAACAGTCTGAAACTTCAGTAGTTAACTTAGTAAAAATAATTTGTAATAAAACCAAAAAGCTATCTATTTGATCATGTAGTGACTCAATGTAAATCCTAGCACTACTATCAATTGATAATTTTAAATGCATCTTGGATTTGTAGATGTAAACACTACATGTAAAATGTTTTATTAAATTGTTCTATTATTAACACAAAAGTTCATTAAAATTATTTCATGGGAATTTAGTACTGTTACTCTAGTTTGTGGATGAAACATCTCTAAGGCAGCATTTCAAGTCCCTCTGGAGAACATTCACCTGAAGAAATGCTGTCTGCAAAACAGGTTTAATTTGGCAAGGACTGCATACAGTATTCGTCAGAAGAATCATAATTCTTATTACCATAATTCGTACTACCATATCTGAAGTCTGACAGGAAAGAAACCTGTTTACTTGTGTCTAACTTAGCATTCCCTAAACTTATCTGACCACAGGAACTTTTCTTTTCTCCCCTGTTACAGCAATTCCTGGAAGCACTTTGGGGAATGCTGCTTTAAAGAAAACTGTTGGTTTCAAATAATAATGGTATTTGAACATCAGGACCTATCAGAATTTGTTCCTGCTCTTACATAGTTGGGGCAACAGTGGTTCTAGCACTCATTTGAGGAAAGTAAATGGCCTGTTGGATAGTGCCGCCTCCTCCATAAAGTGACAACTATCAAGTTTCCTTCAGTAGCTTTGTATTAATATCCAGATCCACCGTAGCAGGTTGTGATTATAAGGATATAAAGAATAGATAAATCACCTAAAAATTTTTTCTTCAGTTCCTTCATGATAAATTAGGGCTTATTAGACATTACAAGAATCATTTCTATGCCTTTCCTACCACTGATTGAACAAATATTAAGCACCTCTGGCTCGGAACTGTGGTCGGGATGCAAAAGCAGAAAGAAATGCTCTTACTGGCATCTGGAAAGACACTGCTCTGCATTATTGGAAGTACAGTAGATATAGAGTTAGGTTAAAGGAAACTTTTAATTTAGCATGCAATCTATTAAAGGTGTCAAAATTGTGATGCTGGAGGGGTGAGTCCTTTCACCTAACATACCTCATGACTTAAGTTTTATGAATGGCACTAGTGGTCTGAATGCTAAAGAGAACTCCTTAATATGTATATCTAATAGTCTTAAAATACATTTAGTATAAAACCAAAATTTTTCGCTTAAGTTTATTTTAGCAGCTTAGTTTTATTACATTCTACATATTTGTCTTTTAATATATTTATATTTCAGCCTGTTCTGCATAGATGGTATATTCATTAAGTTTTATAGTTGACTTTTTCATTTGTTATTTGCTGCTACCTGGCCTGGAGAAAGTTAGGAAGATAAATAAAATTATCTTGGTGGAAACATGGAGCAGCATTTAACTTCTCAGCAGAACTTTACTTTGATGCAGACTCCAGTGTCAGGTTTTCTTCCTCTTCTTTTTCAAATCCTGAACAGATGAGTGATCTTCCCTTGGGATACTGAGCACAACACTTACGCAGTTCTTGCATGACAGCCTGACACTTCGATTCCATGTAGTTGTTGGCTGAAAAACAGACAGGCAGACCCTAGTCATGATCTCACAGGACTAAGGGAGGTTTAGGTCAGCACTTCCCACCCTTTTCACTTTCAGTAACCTATGGAACTGGAAGAAAGAGGACATACCCAAGTACACTGAATTCTACCTGATTTAGAGAATTGCAAACAGGGTCATTAGGAAGAAAATCATGATTTAAAGTAGTCAAAACCTACTTTAATATATACTTTCTTTTAAGGTTAATAGCTTATGCGTGCCTTTTACTAGGTCAGTAGTTTTTAACATTATTATTGATCAATAATCCCTTTTGGTAATTTGATGAATTAGAGAAATGTCCGTACCCCACACATTACTTTGCATACTGTTTAAGCTGGTTGCTGGACCTCCCATACCAAGTCTGTGCATCAGGAGTTGGCAAACTGCAGCCTGAGGGTCAAATTTGACCCCTTTATGGGAGCTAAGAATGGTTTTTAGATTTTTAAAAGCTTTAAACATGCATGCATGCACCCATACATACATACACACACACACACAAAGACCTTTGGCCCCCAAAGCCCAAAATATTACCTGTTTAGCTCTTTTCATAAAACATTTGCAGATCCCTACTATATGTAAACCCTAAGGAAGACTTGACCTAGAGGTTCTAGGTCAGCTGCAGTTGACCTGAGTCCTCCCAGTACTAAAATGGGGTCCATGGTAGTTAGCCTAGAAAGACACTATAGCAAGGTGGCTATGAATCCAGATTTAGAGCTAGACCAATTGGGGGTTCAAATCCCCACCATACCTTTACTAGTTTTGTGACCCTGCACAAGTTTTATAACTTCTGTGTCTATTTTCCCACCTATAAAATGGGGTTCATAGTAGCATCTACTTCATGGATGAAAGGATTAGGTATGTGTAAATTCCTTACAACAGTGCTTGTCATCTAGTAAGCACTTAATGCTAATTCTCTTTTCCTCTCACACTGTACCAAGGGGGTGTAAACAGCTCTTTTTAACTTGATTCTTGTTCTCCCTTAGCCATGGATTGCTATTCAAAATAGGGTAAGAATTTATTTGGGAGAAAAAATTAAACGCAAAAAAATTTTTACTTTTTCTTAAAGTTGGAGGAAGGGAAGAAAAGTATGACTAAAATGGAATTATCATACATCAACATTTTAGATTAATCTAAAAGATTTTCTAAAACATTGCTTACATCAAAAAGTGAAAAGTGCAAGAATAAAAGTTAAAAGGCCAAGGAAATATACACAGTCTTTCTTTGGTGGTGGAGTTTTGGGGGAACTTTGAACATTTTTCGTTTGTACCTTTCTATATTTTCATGACCATCTCCATCTATTACTTTAATAAAGGGAAAAATTATCAAAAATCCAATTTTCAAATTCAGATAGCCTTGTAGCTTTTTCTATTTGCTCTTCTGGCAATAATCATTAACTTATTAAAAAATAAAATTTTTTAACATTTGGTCAAACTTAGCACTGGACAAATGGACAAATCCCATTAAATATGCTTCAGTTGAAATTCACTTTAGCTGCTGACTTTGGGTAGCCTGAATTCTAATTGTATTTTCAAACCCTCTTCTGCCAGACTGCTTTTAAAAACAGAGTTGTCAGCCGCATTGAAGTATAACCAACCTATTTAAAACTAGCCTTTTTGAAAAAGAACTTTGCTCAGCTCAGTAATTTTTAGCCCTGGTTGTGCATTAAAATCACCTGGTTAGCTTTCTAGACTGATTCCTGGTCAGACCCTGGCCCTAGGAAGTCTGATTTAATTGTTCTAGGCAAGTTGTTAAAGCTCTCTAGGTGATTTTAATGTATAACCAGGATTGAAAACCCCTAACTTTGATCACATCACTTTATTTTCTGCATCTTTAATAATACAATGAGGGAAATCTTCAGGATAATTACAGAAATGTTACATTCTGAGAAAAGAGTTAATACAGCTTGTTGATAAAAGAATAATTGATCTCTTATAGTTAGTTCACAGTGGAAAAATATTTAAAAAGCACTTTACACACTACCTTGTAAACATTTCTGTATTTCACAGGCTTGTTTCTGGCACGGATCCTTCTGTGGCATATCCAGAAAACTAAAACAAGAAAAATTATTTTTATTTTGCTTTTTTCCCATAAAGACTTAAAAACACTTCTACATGGAATTTTCTTCTGAGGCAAGTAGTATGCCCATACAATTGCTGGAAAATTACTCTAAAAAATACTCTTCCCATTTATAGGATGAATCAACCGTATTTTTACAATATCCATTTCATTAGGTTTGGATGATATGAATAGCTTTACATGGAAAAAACTTTTAATTCAGTCAACTCGTCTTGAATATTATAAACCAATGTTAGACTAGAGGAGCCTACACCGCAGCCCGGCTCTATCATTCACAGAAGAAACCCTTGGTAAATGATTAAACTCCTTGAGCCTTTTTCCTTATTACTCATGTATGAAATGGGAATCATACCTGCCTCAAAGGATTGACAAAAGGATTAAATGTGATAAAGTATATAAAGTGCACACAATGGTGCCTGGGAGGCCATAAGGACTCAATACATGGTAGCTATTATTCAAAACTTTTTAAAAAAGTAAAACCTTACTTTTAATGTATATAAACTATTATGACTACTTTAACTCAGGAAATTATATACAAGTAGTACATTCTTTCCTAGGAATCAGCAATATTTGATGCTATTACTTTCTGAAAAAGGTTCCAGTTAAGCACTAAATTTTTTAGTTCTTATAGAAGCCAGATTATTTAAAATATCTGTAACCAGAGAATGAATTTAGGTGCCCACAATTTTGATCAACTTCTAATAATTTGAAGACAGTTTCAGAAAGAAAAAAGGCCCAGGAGCCTCTGTAGCTAATTTCATCAATACAAATCTTTTTTTCAGAGCCTCCTAAGTTCTCAGTAGATCCAAATTAGGTCAGTACTGGGATGGGAAACACTGTAGCAAAACCTAGGATATTTACAGGATGGGAGAGGGAAAGGCAGGTTAATTGCTGCAGGGCAAATAAGCGACAAATAGATGTTGATGCTGCTAGGAGCTACTCTCTTCTCTCTAAATCAGTACCAAGTCCTCGGTGATCAAGGCATCTGTTCTGTAGCAGGTGCTGACTTTTGTGGGATTCATCAGATCCCAGTTCCAGTCGATGATGTCCATTAAAGGTTCTATGGCAATTTCCAAAGGAGTCAATTTCAAGTTATGTATCCTGACTAAGTGCTTTTGTTGACTCACTTTCTGCCTGCTTTCTCCCTTTCTCTGCAGTTTCACTTGTAGTATTCTTCATGACCCTTCCTAAACTTCTGTGTTCTTGAGCAGTTTTTCAACCCACTCCCTCCCCCCAGGCCCAAGGGTGGGTGCACTGCAGTAGAGGATGAAGTGATTGCCATAAACTGAACAGAACAAAGAAGCATATCTTCCTAGAATCCCAGCACCTGGAAAAAAAAAATCATTAAAATCACCACAAATGAATACAGTGAAAACGAAGCAGGAACAGATGGGGGAGAAACAGAAATACATACCAGGTTAATCATCAGGCAAAAGCTTAAGCAACAGCTCCTGTACTCCCCTGACCTGTCAGAAAAAGAAAAATTTATAGAGTACTCTGTTATAAGAGTCCCAATACAATGGAAAATGATTAAGCAACATGTGTACCATTAAATGATGCTGTATCTGCCACAAGCGAGAGTTGTTATCCATGTAGCGCTCCTCCGGGTAGAGTTGCCACATGAGAGGTAGCTGGGAGGTAAGAAGGTGACTTGGCCTAGCTGCGTCACCTAGGGGAACCTGAATTTGCTGGACTCGTGCCCTTAGGAAACTTGTCTCCTAATGGAATGATCAAAAGTAAAATCAAAGATTTCAGAATATTGAGACTGGATAGAAACAAGTTGCTTGAAAGCAAAATCAAATAAGCAAAGTGTAAAGTTACCTCTTCCACGACGGCCACCCATGTGCGCTGGTATTCGTCGCGGTAGACACCCTCTTGGTGAACCCAGAGGTGATCGGGTGGAGCCCCCACATCCTCTCCTGCCATTCTGGGCTTTGGGTTCCAATTCTAGCCCTGCTTTTCTCCACCTAAGCCTGCAGCACCCGTGCACAGGACACAGGTGTGACTTTTTGGGTTTGAATGAACTCATCAGTGAGCAAGGTGACCTGGTACTAGCAGCCACCAACCAGAACCAAAGACATCTGAAGCTTTCTGCAAGACAACTGAAGTGATACTCAGAGCCTCGGGTTGCTAACTTTTGACTGCAAAGCACTCAAGAACTTGGCTAGGTGAGAAGTTCTATGAAAATATAGAGCTAACACTATAGGAAGCTGGACAGTGGTCTCACGTTCTTTGTATGCACAAAGCAGTGTCTGACAAAATGTAGGCAGCAATACAATATGTACAAGAGTGTGCCTAAGGACACACTCATTTTGGCAGGAAGGCAGTATAACAGATACATGCATGCCATATTTCCCAGGTAAATGCCACTCCCAAGCCGTTTTCATTTTAAAAGGTAAAATTCTGAAGGACAAATCATATGCATGGCTTTCTAAGTTGAAATTAAAAGTTTGTTTTAAGGGCAAAGACCTATTTGTCAGTTTACTATGAAAGGTAGTAGCAGCTAGGCATTTCCAGAAGGGGATTTTCATGTTAGGAAAAGTATTTAAGGTAGCTTCATGGAATCTCTGAGCTGCAAGAAACTTTGGGAATCATGGTGATGTGAAAGCAAATGACAGTTATCTATCTAGGTCCTTGTTTCATTTTAATAATGCTGCAGGATGTTACAGGAGCCCATTTTTCCATAGAGGTATACGATTAAATTTTGATTTCCCAAGACAGAAGACCAGAAAACCCCTTGTGCCCATTGAGGGGTGTAAAGGAAATGTACCTCCTGGAGCGTCTGGGTGGTAAAGCAAACTCTCCCCACAATGATCCTCTGCCCAGCCCCAGATTTCATTTAAGGACCTCACAATAACTTGACATGCATTTTGCATAAATGAATCTTGTGGACCTTACAGCATCACAACACACTTGTACCATATTTCCACCTTTGGCAGAGTACAGATATGGCATTGGAGGATCTGCCCCACAAAACAAAGACCTCCTATTCCTATTAGGTGGCCATTAGGTGGGAAAGGAAATGCAGCATGAGAGGTTTTTAGAGCCCTCATAGTGAGACTGTCAAGAATAAACCAGATGCTTCACACATTGTACCTTGAGTGGATCTGACATTGAGCCTGCTATAAGCTCCCATCCTAGTTTTCATATATGGAACCCTTTCTCCTTAATCAAATCCCAGTTTCTGTCAATGGCAATACCACCACTCCTGGTCCTGCAGACTCAAAACTTATGAGTTATCTTGTATTTTTTCCTCTTCTTCTGCTATATCCTATCTGTCATCAATTCCAGCAGGTACCACCAGTACCAATGTATTTTAAGACAAACTTTCCCGAAATACTAGGCTCATTTTCTAGCTCCATATGCTTGCTCTTGATTTCCACTTGCCTTAAATGCCTCCTCAGGCCTCTATGCTTATCTCAGTACTATTATAGCAGAGTCCAGGTGCCTACCTCTTCTATGAAAATTTTAGAAAATTCTTGCCTTTTATGACTGTAGCATTTATGTTTAAACTACAGTGCATATTTGGCCTCTAATTATAAATCTCCTTGCATATTTTATCTGCGTATTTCACAAGTTCTGTCTCCCACAAGGTATAGTATTGTATGCTGCTTAATAGCAGGAATGATACAGTCCTGGGCACTATGAGTCTCAAATACTAGTCAAATAATGCTTCTGTGAACAGGTGCATATGCATGGTTGATAGGGAGGTGAAACAAAGGAAGTCCACAGTGGTGGTTGTGATTTACCACGTATACATGTGTAGAGATTGATTCTCTAGGCCTAAGTCTCCAGCTATGTATTAAATTTTTCAAAACCTTTTTTTTTTCACTTAGCAGATACAATTGTTCTGCCTCTTTCCTCACACCCAAGAGCTTTGGAAAAGAGAGATACAAACAAAAACCTAGTAAACACTAACATCAAGATAAAAGATATTAAAGCCTGGATTTCAAGCCCAAAAGACATAAGTGTGGCCAATAATTTTTTTTAAATGGAAACCAAATGTTAAGGCTTTCAGGACCATCTCAACTTTACAGATAGGTCTTATCATCAACCATCATGTTGAAGTATAAATTTGTTTTGAATGAAAAACAAAATTTTATTGGTTACACTGACATTAAAAGGAAATAATTCCAGCAGAATAGAGAGCAAACAGATTGGAGATGGTGGTCTGAGTTACTATGAGTCACTACAAAATATTCTCGGAAGCATCAGCAGGATGAGCCTGGGAATGACCCTCAGCACATTATCCTGGACTTATGTCCAGGATACTTGTGTACAGGATACTTCTCTAGGCCTTCTCTATGAAGACCTAGAGAAAGGCAACTGCAAGTTATCAAGGGACAGAGAATCCACCCTATGAACACAAACCAACAACATTCTCAGCAGAGAAAAGTATAGGCTGAGTGAGAGAAATTCAGATCAAAGCTTATAAAATCACAGGTTGTATGAATGGAAAAATTTGATTCTTAGAACTCTTGCTCCCTACATTTTCCTTGGTCAAATAAGTTTGGGAATCTTGGAGAGTCATAAAGCACATTAGCATAGTAAAAGCTCTGGCAAGTTATGCAGGAAAGAAACTTTATGTTGTTTAACATTTCCCAATTTGATTTGACTAGAAAACATTTTTTGACATATGACATTTGTTCACAAAATTCAGGACTCCTTAAACTAAGATGAAAATGTTAAAAACCCCAAGATAAACTTAAGTACAAGGTGCAATACAATACATGGAATATAAACCTGTGCAACTCAATTTAAGGAATACTACCAGCTGCAAATACAAATGGTTTTAAAAAATGTTGAGATAACTTTATAACTTTATTGTGCACTAAAAGAGATTATCCCCATGGGGATGACCTTGATGCCATGCCCAGAGACCACAGTGGCCTAGATAGACAACTTTTTAGTAAGACATTTTGTAAATTAGGTTCTAAGTGGATGACACATAACACAGAAGGGCTTCCTTAAGTAGTAAATTAAGTAAAACCATTTTTTCTTTACAGAATAAATTCTTTTGTTTTTTAAAAACATGGTTTGTTTTAATTTGCAGGTGTTTGAACAGTTTTTAAACAATGATCAGTTGAATACATTTATTTTATTTGAAGTCTATTAATAAACTCATTCAGTCTCAATGGGTGATATTACCAAGAATACAGGCTGTGGAATCAACCTGGCCTGTGTATGAATCCTGATTCTGCCGTTTAGTAGCTTTGTGACTTTGGACAAGTTAACCTCTCTCCACCTCAATTTCTGGAGGTGTAAAATGAGAATTAAAGAACATATTAATCATAATAGCTTTTACATAGCACTTCCTATATGTTTTACATCTGTTTACATATATTGACTCATTTAATCTTTGCAATCTTCATAGGGTGCTATTTGGTGGGCAGTATTATTATCCTCACTTTAAGGAGAGGAAAGTAAGCCACAGAGAAGTTAGGTAACGTGTCCAAGTTCACACAGCTAGGAAGTTGCAGAGTGTTATTCCAACAGGGGCAGTTTATATACATCAGGTATATAAATGCTTAGTAGAATTATTTAGCACATAATAAACTTGAAATAAATGCTAATAGTTTTTTCTACTCCAAATAAATGTTTGGACCTGTAGAAGGCAGCCATGAGCATTAGAAAAGTTAGTGAATGTCATTCTGCAATATGAGATTGACTAACGCCAATATCAAGCAAAAGGCACTTTTTAAACTCAAACTATCCAATTACCAAAAATAATAATAAGACCAGCTGTTCCTGCCCTAATAGGGCAGGGCATACTAGCCACAAACAGTACCTGAAAATAGTATATGATATAAAATTGTAACGAGAAAATTTAGATGGGTCCAATGTAATCGCACACTTAAAAATTTTCCAACCTTCATCATCATCAAAATTAATCATGGAAAGATGTGCCTTGTGATTCTTAAGCATTATGTAAAAATGGAGGTTGCTGGCATATATATTACAGATAGTTCCACTGGATGGGGACCCTATTTGTGGGGAGACTTGGGTTGGAACTGACTTGGGAGAAAAGAGCAAAGCATCAACACCTCTTTAAGTAGCCCTTTGAGAATGTTCCCTTTCCAGTACTGCCACACCTGCCTGGCTTCAAAACTACACAGAGAATAGAAAAATGAATCAAAGAAACAAACACCGAGGCAGCACAGCGCGTGCGCGCGCACACACAGACACACACATATATACACACACATACACATATATATATAATTTTTTTGGCTTAGAATCGCTTCTAAAATCCACGTGTAATTCCTAAACTTATGAATTGGAAGATTTGTACTTTTACCTTTGGCACGTTTGACATACCTCAAAACACAATTACTTTTACGTATAATTAATCCATGTCTGATATTATCAAGAAAAAGAGATCTGCGGAAACTGGTATTCTGGATATCTAATGTGATATGTACGAAATTGAATAAAAACTGATGTCCCTCAATTCCCCTTCACTGTATCAAACAAATAGCTACCTAAAAGCCTTTGTAGAAAGTAGCAGCAGCCAAGCTTAAGAGTGATACTTTTTTCAGATACAGTATAGCACTGTTTCTGCAAAAGGTTACTCACATGAATATAATGTTTCTTGGGCTAATTAATCCACCTCGAGAACAGCTAGGCTAAAACTTCCAGGTCCCCCACCCCCGGCCTCTCAAGCCGGGATCCCGACGTGAGCCCAGGGCGAACCGAGGGGCATCCCCAAGCCGAGGTCACTGGAACTGAAGTTATGAGGCGCGGGCCGGCAACCGGAAGTGGTCCTGGGAGAGTTGTACAAGATTCAGGGGCTGTGATTTGGAAATAAAACAAAATAAAACCTTAACTGTTTTAGGACCAACTTTCAAAAGAGTGTCCCTCTGACTCAAGAGACCGGCGTTGGCGGTGAAGTCGCCTCAAACGGCTGTCCCCTAAGCGTCTAGGCCGCGCACGGCACGGCACTCCTCAGCGGGCGGGCAAAATGGGCGCCGGAGCTTGGGAGGTGCTTACCCAGGCGCCCGGGCGCGACTCACAGACCACGTACGCCTGCAGCCTGAGAGCGCCGCCTCCCAGCAGCCCCTGCCGCCGGGCCTGACACGCCAAAGGCGCCCGTCCACCGCCCTTCCCCCCTGACGGCCACGCCCGCCCGAACCGGCGCGGGCGTTTCTCAGGTGCTGCCGTGCGGGCCCCACCCCCGCGCGCCGACCTCCCCCGCCCCGCCCCGCCCCACCCCGCCCCGTCCCGCCCCGCCCCGCCCAGCTCCCACGGTCCCGCCCCGCCCAGCTCCCACGGTCCCGCCCCCGCGGAACCCGCGCGGAAGGCCAGGCCTGGGCGGGGCACTGAGCGCTGGGGAGGCTGCGCCGGAGCACCCGGTTGGTCAGACCAGAGTGGGCTGGAGGCGGACTGGAGCAGGGTCGGACCAAGATGGCGGTGCAGGTGGTGCAGGCGGTGCAGGCGGTTCATCTCGAGTCCGACGCTTTCCTAGTTTGTCTCAACCACGCTCTGAGCACAGAGAAGGAGGAGGTGATGGGGCTGTGTATAGGGGAGGTGAGTAGGTCAGTCAGTCTGGCTGGAACCTTGCTGAGCAGTCCCAGCGTGTCGCCAGGATGAGTGCCAGCAGCGCCCAGGGCTGTGGAGGCCACAGGCATCCCTGACTTAGATCCTTGGACATCGTTAGATGGCTCTGTTGCGGGGACCCCCATTTCTTCCGGCCGCTGAACACTTGTTTAGTCTCCCGCAAGCCCCCAGTGATCAGCAGATGCCCCAGGGAGCCGTGCTTTTTCTTCTGTAGCCTGCGGCTTTTCTTTTGATTTGGGGTTATCACCCAGTTGACCCAAACTGGAAGCCAGGCCAGGAAGACTTTGGAGTATAATGAGGACATCAGCATATTGGAAAGCAGCTGACTGCAGTTAGAGCCCCTTGCCTCGCCTCCAGTCTTCCCTCTAGGGAAGCAGAGGTATCAACAAAGCATTTGAAGCATATCAAAAAACCTAAGAAAGGAGGGGATTTCAAGGACGCAAAAGTTTCCGCTGCGTTAAGTGTTGCAGAGGGGCGAAAGAGGATGAGGAAATAAGAGTTTACCTGTTTACAGTCTAAAGTAATTCCCCATTCTTTCATGCTGGTATGCACGAACACATGACCTAATTTTAGTATCTGCATTCATGTACATCAAACAAATATAATGTGATCAATAATGTTTTCTGCTCTTTCCCACTCTAGTTGAATGATGATGCAAGGTAAGACTGTATTCGTTTACTCATATCTAATGATCATTGTTAACTCAGAATTATATATGTGAAAAATATAGTTGAGGGAACCAAGATCATGCATGAACCTGTGAAAGCTGTTATAAGTAGAATTTTGTCGACTAAAAGGCAGCACATTAAAAAGACTATCAATGGATTTTCCATTTCCTTGTTTGATATATTTCATATTCCTTCTCCCCTGAAATGTCAGTGAGATACTGGCAATTTTTTGTGACGGCAAAAGTACACATTCAGAGCCATTTACCCCTGTTGATCCATCCTTCATCTGAATTGTCAGTGACTTTCTGCCACCACTCCCTACTCCCACGACTGCCCTATCTCAGAGTTAACCACTAGCTTGAATGCTTGAGGTGCTGAAACTTTTGGGTAATTTAAACTTCAAAGCATACCATAGTTTACTTCTCAAACCCACCTTCTTAATATCCAGGATTCCAAGAATTTAACTTTTTGCTCATGATAACTTTATGCACTCAGCCACTTGTGCACATGTCCCAGATTGCTTCTAACAGATATATGAGTGCAGCTTTATCCCTGGTTCACTTTTCTTCCTCTTTTGTCTCTGCTATGGTTTCGTTACAAAACCTGTTAATCCTCTTATTTTGCAGTAATTCCTTTTTATATTCCAAACCCCAGTTCCCTTTTTTTCTAATTTATACCTAATAGGACTGACTCCAAATTTGCATATGCTGGAAGTGAAATGCGCACAGTTGCTGAAAAGGTATGTATGCTGGAATTTTGCAGGATGGAACCTTGCTATTGGGGAAAGATTTTTGTACTCTGATGATCTCAGTTGTAGTAGTTTTATTCTAGTTTGTGTAAAATACAATAAAAATGAATGACTTCCTTCCCTCCCACCAAGCTATCAGGCAACAACTTCATATACAAATGCTATATGCAAACTTCTCCACCTTAACCCCTTTGCCTCCTTTCTTTCCATATCAAGGAAAGAAGTCGTCTTCCTATTCTACTGTCTCTTCTGGGTCTTTTTCCTGTCACCTCGTTCTTTTCTTTTAGAGTACAAATATGCTTAAATTACTCTCATTTTCAGAAAGGAAAGAAAAACTGCTTCTCAAACCTGTATCTTCCTGCAGTCACTACTCTTACATCCTTCCTTGAATAGCCAGACTTCTAAAAAGAATGGGCTACAATTGTTACATCTTCACCTTCCCCAGTCAAATCCACTAAGGTCTGGTTTTCAATTCTACCTCTCTAGCCATCTCATTGCTACATCCAGTGGGTAATTTCTTGGTGCTTATGTTAAACTTTCTCCTTGAATCTCTGGACTCTTACGGGTTGTTGTTTGTTTTGCTGTGTTTCCTTTCCCCCTGCTCCCCTTTATGGGCATTTCCCCCTCTGTCTATGCATTAAATGTTGCTCATTCTTCATTCACCCTGGGCATCAGCTACTAAAATACATTCCAAATCTTAGTGATATAATTTTATTTTTCAAGGATTCATGCTGTCATCTTGAATTTTATGTCAATTTGTACTGTTAAAATTGATATTAACTTTGTGAGTTTAGCGAACTTATCTTGTTAGTTAGTGTTGCCATGGTATATCTTTTTTTATCCTTTTATTTTTTAGACTTACTGTGTACTATTTAAAACATGTCTCTTATTAGCATATAGTTTTTTTTAAAAAAATACAGTCTGATAATATTTTTAATGGAAGTATTTAGTCCAGTATCATTTAATGTAATGATTGGCGGGGCATGGTGGCTCACACCTATAATCCTAGCACTCTGGGAGGCTGAGGCGGGCGGATGGCTCAAGGTCAGGAGTTTGAAACCAGCCTGAGCAAGAGTGAGACCCCGTCTCTACTATAAATAGAAAGAAATTAATTGGCCAACTAATACATATAGAAAAAAATTAGCCGGGCATGGTGGCACATGCCTGTAGTCCCAGCTACTTGGGAGGCTGAGGCAGTAGGATTGCTTGAGCCCAGGAGTTTGAGGTGGTTGTGAGCTAGGCTGACCCCACGGCACTCACTCTAGCCTGGGCAACAGAGTGAGACTGTGTCTCAAAAAAAAAAAAAAAAAAAAAAAAGAAATTTTGAGATATTTTACATTCTTTTCTTCTTTTTTTTTTTAAGTAAGTCTTTGAATTCCAAAGTGTATTTCATACTTTCTGTACATCTGAAGTCAGACTTACCACATTTCTAGGGCTTAGTAGCTACATGTGCCTAATGGCTCCTGTATTGCGCAGTATAGGTCTATAGCTTATTTCAAAATCCTCCTCTCAGATTTCAGCCATGTCCCTTCAACTTCTGACAATGCCAAGCCCATCCTTTCACCTGAAAGTCTTATACCATTTCATTGTTCTACTTTTGCCTCCTCTATCTTCCTCCTTGGCTTCTCTTGTTCTACCCCATCCTAATGTGGGCACCCCCCTTGATTCAGGCCCAGACCTCTGTTCCCTCTCTCCACACCTTTTTTGTCTACTCATAACGCTTTATTGATTCTCCCATTGATTCTATTTGAGCATAAGCTGTAATCCCACCTACCTGCTAGAAATTGCCATATTGTACATCTTCTCATCCCAGATCAGTTCATGTGAAAATGAGCTCATCTTCATTTCTTCCTGACCCTTTCTAAACTTTGATTTGCCTCCCATAGTCCATCTAGTTTCAACCTTGAAAGTTCAGAGTCATCTTTGCCAATTTCCTGTCCTCCATCACCCATGGTCCATAGCTACCAAATCGTGTAGATTCTTCCTTCTTAGTAGGTCTCAAATCTATTTCTTCCATCTCTGCCATCTACATAGTCTATTAATAGTACTTTATCACCACTTCATGTACAGTTTATCTGAAATAATTTCTTTACAGTTCATACTGCAAATCATGGCTTGGCATTCGAAGCCTTGTACATTCTCATACTAGCTTTCTTTCTTAGCCTTATCATCTACCATTTCACCTTAAAGTCTGTATCTAAATCAGTTGGCCAGCTTATCTCCCAAACATTTCACTCATACTTTACTACTTCCATAGCTCGTATACCCATTTGGCACCTGTAGAAAGTCTGTTCCCCTTTGCCTCCACACACACACAGTAAGCAAAGAAAAGGCACTTTTATGCCTTTTCTATGAAGATTTTTTTTTTAAATCTAAGTGCATCCTTTCCTCTGAACTCCTACAGCATTGATTCACTACATTATTTTAGTGTAGTTTACTCATGTATGATACTTGCTGCTCAACCATATTGTTAGCACTTTGAACACTTTGATTTATATTCCTTTGTGTGACAGTGTCTTGCACATAGTTGTAAATCAAATAATTGATCATTCAAAAAGTCCTTCCTTGATCTAAATATTAGCTTTTATATTTTTGTTTCTGAAATGTATATATTGAGGTTACATGTTTTTGATTTGAAATATTTCATTATTTATAAGAAAAGAATCATTTTTCTAAAATTGAATCTTTGATATTATAATAAAATGCAATTCTATAATTGAAGGGAGATGTGTTTTTGGAAAGAGAAATAAGTAACCATTTCTGTGGATTTTCCTTTAGATTGACACCGTCAGAATTGTTCACATTCATTCTGTCATCATTTTGCGACGTTCTGATAAGAGGAAGGACCGAGTAGAAATTTCTCCAGAGCAGCTGTCTGCAGCCTCAACAGAGGCAGAAATATCCTTATCAGTCAATAAGAATCTTTTATGTGCTCTGGGGCTCCTGGGCCACATTGGTCTGTTTGCTGTGGTCATCTTGCTTTAGATGGTTTCACAAATTTTCTTCCTGGTGACTGTTCCCAGTTTTCATATTTACCCTTAGATCCAATTGCTTGGTTAATCAGAATTTCTCTTCAGTTTTTCTTTTAAGTGGGCTTTATTGGAAGAATTAGAAATTTCAGACATTCTTGTTCCTAAATGCCAAAAGATCCCAAGGTCAAATACCCAATTCTTCCAATAAAAGCCCTACCTACTCCCCACTCTTCTCTTCTTCCTCTTTGCCCTTCCTTCCTGTTTGCCTTGTATCATTTAATTTCTAGACCTTTTACTATCTTGGTCTTTATCCTTTGGAGAGATTCTCTTTTGAAACTTACTCTCAAAAAATGCAGTGCTGAGAACTGAATGCAATATTCCATATTAAATACAACCAAAGAATGTTCAAATGGGGCATTTGCTTCCTATGATCTGGACTCTGTACCTCAGCTATAGCAAGTTAAATTTGCATCACTGGTTTTAGTAATTTGTCATTTTTTTGGATTAAATTAATCCTGTAGTCAACTAAAAAGTAATTTTAAAAAATAGGAGGTACACATGCATAGTATAAGCTTTAAAGAATATAAAAATATATATATAAAATGAGAATTTCTCTTCAACCCTGTGCCTCCAGGGTCCTTTCCAGATATAACCAGGTATATCAGTTTTTCATGTATCCTTACAGATGAATTCTGTGCATACAGAAATACATATGAATAGTTTTTTTTTGAGACAGAATCTCACTCTGTTACCCGGGCTAGAGTGCCGTGGTGTCATCCTGGCTCGCAGCAACCACCTAGGCTCAAGTGATCCTTCTGCCTCAGCCTCCTGAGTAGCTGAGACTACAGGCATGCGCCATCATGCCTGGCTAATTTTTTATATATATATATTTAGTTGTCCAGCTAATTTCTTTCTTTTTTTTTTTTTCTTTTTAGTAGAGACTGGGTCTTGTTCTTGCTCAGGCTGGTCTTGAACTCCTGAGCTCAAACGATCCACCCACCTTGGCCTCCCAGAGTGTTAGGATTACAGGCATGAGCCACTGTGCCTGGCCTATTTTCTTTTTCAAAAGTGTTTAGTACATATGATAGGTCATTATATACAGTATTCTTTTTTTCACCTAACAGTGTATCTTGAAAATTTCACTGTCCTCATGCAGATGTTAAAGTTGTTTGTAATCTTTTAGTCTTAGTGCTGCAATGAATAACCCTGTATATACTGCATCTCATAATATATGTGTATATCTGTAGGTTCAATTCCTAGAGGTGAAATTGCTGGGGCAAAAGTTGTATGTACTTGTGGTTATAGATGTTTTACCAGTTTACCCTCTGGCAATGTACAAAAGTTCCTATTTTCCAACACCCTCAAAAACATGTGCTATGACAGTTTTTAATTGTTGCCAATCTGATCAGCTAAAAAATTATATCTTATTTCTTGCAATTTTAATTTGTACTTTTCTTATTCTGAGTAAATTTGATCAGCTTTTCATTTTTATGAGTCATTTGTATTTTCCTCTGAATTATTTGGTTATTTCCTTTGCCCCTTTTTCTATTGATTTGATAATCTTTTCCTTGATAACTTATAGGCACTCTATATATTAAGAAAATTAGCCTTTAGTATTAAGGATAGTGAGTTTTCCCAGTTTATTCATGGTGTGTGTGTGTGTTTCCCAATCAAGTTGTTGCTTTTACATTTGAGTCTCTTACAGTGTATACCTTTTCCATCTTGTTTTTTAACTCTTTATTTTGAAATAATTATAGATTCATGGGAAGCTACAAAAATAGTACAGAAAGGTCTCTGGACCTTTCACCCTATTTCCCTTAAAGGTTATATCTTATATAATGATAGTGTAATTTAAAAACCAGGAAATTGACAGTGATGCAATATGTGTAATTCTATGCTATTTTGTCACATGGGTAGATACATATAAGTACTATAGCAGTTAAGATACATAACTGTTCCATCATTATCAAGATCTCTCTCGCTACCTTTTTATAGTCACACCTCCCCTAAACCCAGGCAACCACTAATCTGTTCTCCATCTCTATAATTTTGCCATTTCAAGAATGCTATATTAATACAAGTGGAATCATACAGTATGTGACCTTTTGAGATTGTCTTTTTTTCACTTTGTTCCCCAACCCAAATCCCTGGCAACCACTAATTTTTTCTCCATCTTCTCATAAGGGTTGTGTTTTCATTTTTTGCTCTGGTAGGTAGTCTTTTATTGGATGCCAGATTTTGTACCTTTTCCCTTGACTGCTGGGTATTTCTGTTTTCCTGGATATGTCCATGAGCTATGTTCTGGGATGCTATGAATTTACTTGGAAACAGTTTGATCCTTTTGAGTCTTGTTTTGAAGATGTGCTGTGTGAGACCAGAGCAGCTCTTAGTGTAGGATTAATTTTCCTATGCTACTGAGACAAGACCCTTCTGGGCCCCCTGGCTGATGCCTCCCAAATGAATGATGAGATTCTCCATCCTGGCAGGTGGGGACAGCCACCTAGTCCCCTGTTATGCTTGAGTGCTGGGCAGAGTGATCTTTCATTTTCTCAGGAGGTTGAGGGGTCTTTCCCTGGCCCCGGGTAGTTCCCTCACAGGTTGTACTCATCAGTGGTCTGCTAAACAGCTTGCATGGATTACTTCATTTACTTTTCAGTGCTCTGCAAAGCATTATTTCCCAGTCTGAAACTGAAGAAATGGACTAAGAGAAGTAACTTCTCTTGGCGTTTGAAAATTTTAAAGTATATTTTAAAAGTATTGTTTTTCAGACTTAGTTGTATAAAAAATATTATTATGATTTAATGTAAATAATTTGCAGGAAAACTAATTAGCATTTTACAGGATAGCAGCAGCAGTCTCAGAAGTGACAGCTTCTGAAGATTTAGATAAACTTCAGATAGCATGTTAGTATTTTAGTGATTAAACATTAGCTAAATTCTATTAAGAGAATGTAACTACACAGTAATGGAAACCATATGGATTCTATTTAAAAAAAACCCTTTAGTTTAAATAGGCAGTTTGGGAAATTCTGAGCATCCACCTTATTTCATTGTCATTAAATTATAATAAGTTGATTTTAAACTTCAGGATACTTTATGACCCCTTATTAGCACCAGAAATTTTGTGTTAAAAATACCTTGACAGGCACACAGGTTGGCTGAACTAACAGGTCGCCCCATGAGAGTCGTGGGCTGGTATCATTCCCATCCTCATATAACTGTTTGGCCTTCACATGTTGGTAAGTATTAGGGGGTTAAATGTTTATTATTCTCAGAAATGAATATCATTTTATCTTCTCCATTACATAGACCATGGTTATTTTAAACAAAAATTTGAGTATTCTTAAACAAATGGCATTATTTTGATTTATTTTGCCATGTTTTAAAAGTAATGTATGTCATAGTGATTTTGTTTAAATAATAAGAGATAAAATTTCAGCACCCCATTTTGATCTGTATTCAGGAAATGAGGATGGACTAAAGCCTGACAATCAGCTGACATAAAAAAAAAGAAATTGACTGAAAATTACTGATTAATGAATACAACTACTGTACAGTATACTCCATTCTGAAGACCAAAAGTTGTTAAGGATGAAATTTACAAAATTGATTTTTACAATCTCTGTTTACATATAGTCCATCTTAGCCATTGGGAATCTACCTCCTCACCTTGCTAATCAGTATAATGTAACTAAATTGCTTTCTTTCTGTTATTACCCCATTTTGAGAATCATGATCATTTTTGGTCTCTACCTGCCTCTCTAGAAAGAAGTAGAATATCTTCATTTGGGGAGAGTGAATATTGATGAGCACTTAACTATGTGCTAATGGTTTACAAATGTTTTCTCCTCTAATCCTCATGGTAACCTGTGAATTAGAGATCTCTTCCCCCACCATTATATAGAAGAGTAAACAGGCTCAGGTGGGTAAAGTAAGTGGCAGAGCTGATATTAGAAACCAGGTTTGACTCCCAAGTTTGTGCTCTTTCCACTGTGATGTGCTATTTTTAGTCATATGGGCTTGAGTTGATAATAAATTCTCTTTTCATCTACACCTATATGAATGACAAAGAGTCATCAGCAGTCTCAGACTTTAATCAAAGATGAGTGGTAGGTAGAGCAGTAGTTCTCAGTCATGGGGGGTAGGGTGCTTCTCAGAATCACCTGGAAAAGCTTTTATAAAATGAACCTGACCCAAATTAATCTTTCCCAGATCCCAACCCAGACCTACTCTAACAACCTCTGAGAGTGGGTCCTAGGCAGGATATTGTTGAACAGCCCCAGTTAAATACTGACTTAGAATAAGGGAGATGATAGACTTACCTTCTCCCAGATTCACCAAATGTTAACATTTTGTAGCATTTCCTATATCATTCTCTTTCTTACATATATGTGCATATATGTATGTGTCTGATTATAATTCTTTCCTGAAGTATTAGAGAATAAGTTGCAGACATGGTACACTTTACCCCTAAATAATCTTCAGCATGAATTTCCTAAACACAAAGTAATTTTCTTATATAACCACAGTACATTTGTCAAAACTGGGAAATTAACATTAATATAATACTATTATTTAAATTATAGACCTTTTTCAAATTCTTTATTTGGCTCACTAATGTCCCAATAAAGGTTGTTTTAATAGCTATAAATGTATTCCTGTAAAATCTTAATATCACTGAATGAAGTCAGTGTTTGATTTATTTTCTTGTCATCATCGACACTAAAATCGGATTGGCTTCAAATTTCTCTTATGGTAGTACCATCAGCCAGAAAGAACTAAGTACCAACCACGAATGAAGGAAAGTTTGAGCTACACATTCCTGAACACTTGTCATTAACACATTAACTGCCATGTGAGTTATATTTAACTTATGTTAGTTTTGAGCCTGGGGCCTCATGAAGCAAAACCTGGGCAAAACCCTGCAGTTGGTTTGTGAAAATCTTAATTTGTTGATGTTCTTATTGTTTCACTTAATATTGACAGATTAACTCTAAAATCATGGATTCAGTGAATAGAAGTGAATAAATTTCATTTTTCATTAAATTAAAAAGGATCATTTTGTTTTTGAAGTTTTTATTCTATTTTTGTAGTAAAATACTGTGGCCCCAAGGGAAAATGTTTTTTCTAGTGTGGCAGTCAATGTGTTGCTAATACATTAGAATAGGAAAGATAAAATTTTGGGGTAAAAAGAAACTCCCTAAAAACTTAGGAAAAAACCATATCAGTCTTTGAAGTACAGCACCCAGAAAGTTTCAGAATTCAGAAAATAATTGAATTCTCTCAGAGAAGGAGGTATGAACCATTAAACAAGAAGCTGGGTAGGAATTTGTAATGCAGCAGTCAGTAATAGCAGTGGGGCAATTTAAAGCTTTATATAAGACAGGAACGAAGGTGATTGCAGAGTGTAGCAGAACAAAATTAACTTTATATTGTGAAATGATTAAGGAGCCAAATATAAACAATGCAACACAAAATAGATTTGGAGTTTAGAGCATGGACATCCTACCTGTAACAAATATCAGAATATGCAATAAAGGCTATGCTCAAAGGAAGTTTAGAGAGATATCATCATAGCATGAAGGTTGGGAACACTAGCTTTGGATTCTGTTAAAGACCAGGTCTGGGCTGGGCGTAGTGGCTCATGCCTGTAATCCTAGTACTCTGGGAGGCCGAGGCAGGTGGATTGTTTGAGCTCAGGAGTTCGAGACCAGCCTGAGCAAGAGCAAGACCCCGTCTCTACTCAAAACATAGAAAGAAATTAGCTGGACAACTTAAAGTATATAGAAAAAATTAGCCAGGCATGGTAGCGCATGCCTGTAGTCCCAGCTACTTGGGAAGCTGAGGCAGGTGGATGGCCTGAGCCCAGGAGTTTGAGATTGCTGCAAGCTAGGCTGATGGCACGGCAGTCTAGCCTGGGCAACAGAGTGACACTCTTGTCTCGAAAAAAGACCAGATCTGTGTTAAAATCTTGTTTCAGTCACTTACTAGTTGAGAAAATCTTTTAACCTGCCTCTGTAGTTCCTTCTTTGTCAAAAAAGAAGACCATATTATCTGTCTCAGAGTTGTTAGGAGGAGTATATGAAATCATGACATATATGGCACCTTGTTCCATGCTTACCACAGTAGCTGTTGTTCATCTATAAAACAAACAACAAAGGAAAGAACCAAAACATTTACTTATAAAACTCTCAAGGACACAGAGAGAGTATAATTAAATATCTAAGACCATGTCATAAACATATTGTTAAAGGATCATTGTATAAAATGATTCTTCAGGAAATTTATTGGATACCTGTATGGAATAATACAGTCCTGGCTCCTGTTGTCCTGGAACATAACGATTTTGTGAGGAGGGAAAAAACAGTTAAAAATACTGAAGGGAAAACAATAACAATGATAAAGAAGAAATAGGATGTAGTCCACATAGATCATTTGTACCACCAAATATAAACACGGTGAACACCTATGAAAATGAAATCCTCGGGATTGGGAAAAAACACAATAATAAGATGTCATTAAAGACAAGCTACAAACCTAAAGACTTGAACAAAAACTAACGAATGAGGTTGAGCTATATGGGAGAGGTGAAGGTAACAGTTACATCATCAGCAAAAGAATATAAATGAGAGAAGACAGATCATTCTATAGTAAAAGGCACAGTAAATAAGGAAACTGTAATGAGGTTAAATTACATTCCTTACCAGAGCAATAAAAAATATATAAAGTTTCACATGTAAGGAATGGAATGGAAGCTAGTTGGAATACAACAGCCTGATAACTCACTTTCAGAATTTATTCATTCCTTCAAAAGAGCATAAAGAGAGTTAGCTTTGGGTTGGGGTTTGCAGTAGGGGCTGGGTAGGGAGTGAACAAAAGCAAGAGTGACGTAGACCAAGATACCAAGACTAAGACTTTAAAATTTCATATTAAAAGAATTTCAGACTTACAGAAAAATTGCAAGAATAGTCTAAAGAACAAGATTCCACAATTGTTAACCTTTTGCCACATCTGCTTTATCATAGTCTTGCTGTATGAAATGTGTGCATATACATGTGCACGCACATAACACATTTGAGAGTGAGTTGTAGACATGATGCTCCTTTAGCATTAAATCCTTACTTGTGTATTTTTCAAGATCAAGGATATTCACTTACATGACCAGGGTGCAATTATCAAAATTAGGAAATTAAATATTGATACAATACTATTATGTAAACTATAGAACTTATTCAAGTTTTGCCAATTATCCCAATACTGTCCTTTATAGTAGTTTTTTTCTTTCTAATGCAGGATCCAGTATCAGATCATGCATGACATTTAGTCTTCCGTCAGTTTAATCTCCTTTACTCTGGACTACTTTCTCAGACTTTTTTTGTCTTCTATGATATGGACATTTTTGAAGATTTGGATTTGTCTGTTGTTTGTTCATGACTAGATTCAGGTTTTGCACTTTTGGCAGGAGCACCACTGGGCCCTTCTCAGTGTATACCATCAGGAGGCATGTGGTGACTGTCTCATCACTATGATGTTAACTTTAGTTATAAGTTTTCTGCTGCACACTAAAATTTTCATGCATCTGATAAGGCAGAATTAACAAATGTGGGTTAAATGGGAATTGCTGATAAGAAGCCTCTTCTCAAATGTCCTTTCATTGAACATATACTAAGGACCTGCCACATGCCAGTTTATAATAATACCTGTGAATCAAATTTCAAAATTAGGAAGTTGTACATATTTCATGATATCTCTGATCAGTGTGCTCCTACTGTCTGCAAAGGCAAACCTTTTCATTCTCAAACTTCTGATCTCCTTACTGCCTCTTTCACTTTCAGCAGATAACGCTGCTTCCTACCCTCAAAAAAAAAATAGCCATTAGAAAGGAGTTTCATCTATTTCTCTTTATTCACCAACTTATCTCTGTGCCCATCTTCTTTTCCCTCTCCTCCTTTATCCTTGCTTTCCATGTTCTTAAGAACCTTATACTGTTTGTTATACTTCTCTTTCCTATATATCTATATCCTTATCTGCTGTGCTGGATTCTTCCCATCATTTATTCTTTCTTTCAACAAATAAATTTGAGTATCTGCTATGTGTCAAGGTGCTGAAGATAAAGCAGTGAATAAGAGACAGAAGGTCCCTGCCTTCATGGAGCTTTCAAATATGCTCGTATCTCATATTGAGGAAAACATAAGAAAAGCACTTCCCAATCCTACTTCTCCTTCAGGTCCATCTTGTC